CATATTAAAGGTTTCAAAAATCGATTGCGATTGTACAGTACGTACTTATATATAAACAGATGTACATACATACATAGGTGTAGCACACACCTAAGATCGACACCACATTTGTCATTAGGAAATTTCCCAATCAGTTAGTATGTCGAAAAGGCTTGAAATCAAATGAAATCGCATTTGCATTTGTTGATTGGTATTGGTAAAAATCGTACCCGTATACGCATTTATCAATTCATATGAAGATTTAGTTAGAAAACAACAAAAATGTAAAAACTTGGAGTTCTTAAACACGTATTGATTTGATTTTAAGTATTTACAATTGAATATAGGTTTATAACTGTTTTTTAAGGTTCAGGGAAAATACTCTTTTATTACTTTCGTATGGGCTTCTAATGTTCTGATAAGGGAAATTTTTATTTCATTAGGTATATAAATTTTGGTTTCAATACACTGCAAATTATATAGTACTTAAGTCAAATGCGAATTTATGTATGAATAACACTGGTCTACAAGGGTTTTGCGAATAAGACGGGACCTGGTGTTTCCGAACGGATTTTTCGTGCTGAACACGAATCTGGGGTCCAAAACTTCCCATCACGTCACGTTTTCGAGAAAAAAGGGGTTGAAACCCCTAAAAACAGCGTTTTTGGACATTTTCGAAAAATTGTAGAGCTGAACCCTGACGTGCTACAAACTTTGTATATGTCAGAAATTAAAGGCTAAATCGTGCCCTTTCGAATGAGCCCTATGCCGAATTAATCGCATGCACCCTTAGATCAGGGGGTGTATTTGTGTCTAGGAGTCCAGGGAAAATTGATCGCAGAAAGAATTTCATCTTAAACGACCATATAAATTTCTTAAATTTTTAAAATCTAACTGCAGATTCGTAATCAGCGACTTTTAATATAGTTAAAACCTTGGCATTATTAATTTTCTATGATCGTTTAAGATTAAATTCTTTCTGTGATCAATTTTTCCTGCACCCCTAAACACAAATACACCCCCTGCTTTAAGGGTGCACGCGATCAATTCGGCATAGGGCTCATTCGAAAGGGCACGGTTTAGCCTTTAATTTCTGATATTTGCAAAATTTGTACCACGTCAGGGTTCAGCTCTATAATTTTTCGAAAATGGCCAAAAACGCTGTTTTTAGGGGTTTTTCTCGAAAACGTGACGTGATGGGACATTTTTGACCCCGGATTCGTGTTCAGCACGAAAAATCCGTTCGGAAACACCAGGTCCCGTCTTATTCGCAGAAAAAAAGTTGAAATTTGTAGACCAGTGTAATTAATACATAATATATATTAATTCGCCTTGACTTAAGTTTTATAAATTTTCTGTTTACAAATTAACTTTAAATGCAATGCCTGCAATTTTACCGCGAAAATAATAATTTTAATTTTTATCATTTCAATATCTAGCAGATATTCGGTATTAAATTGTCATTATTTCAAACCTTGCGATATAATAGTATGCTTTCACTTAACATCTAATTTCTAATTAATAAGGCCCCGAATATGGTACTACGGAAGCTGCCTGGAAAAGCGTACTCACCGAATCTGAACGTATCAGTGACGTACACTTGAAGATCAAAGAAAATTTATGCAACGACGTGAGCAGCCAAATAAAAGGTTGGCAAAAGGACAATTATCATCACACGCTTATGCAAATCAAGCAACGCAAGGATATGGAAGATTTGTTTAAGAAGGCGCAAAAGCCCTGGGCTAAGTTGCTAGCAAAAGTAGAGAAGACAAAGTCTGATTACCATGCTGCCTGCAAAACGGAGCGCAGTGCCACCAATCAAGAACGGAATGCCACGGCGGATAGTTCGCTATCACCGGACCAAGTATGTATCAACACTTAGAATCAGTAAGATTGTATTAACCCTTTGACAGCTACCATACAGTTTCTTATATGTTAGTGGCTCGGTGGGAACTGCAAATGAAGTTCAAGTGAAGAAATTATTAACTTTGCTTCACCGATTCGACACCGTTTCTCATGTGTAGGTTTCTTTTTTATCAACATTCCCGCATTGTTGCCTATTTATTATAGATAAGAGCGATTTTTTGTTTGCGTATCAAGGCAAACATAAAGGTCTTTCGCAACTCACATTGTTAGGTTATTTAAAAAATCAATACAAATGAGTAATTTGTTGAGCATATTTAAAGCAAGAAGGCAGTGTAGACATATAATATGGCCAAGCTTTTAATTGGTATAGATCTCATTTAGCAAATCCTAGAACTAAACGAAATCTAGAATTATCTAAAATTTTTAGAGATTATCAATGTAAATTTTAAAAACATAACCCGAAATTGTCTTGGTACATATCAATAGTTAAATCTTTCATTTCTTGTCAATTCTGAAAGCTCTAGATGAGGAAATGCAGCGTGCTGTGTATCCTTTATTTCCAATGAAAATGGCTACCCTCGAGCAAAATTCTTCATTTCTGTTTAATTTATTCCTCATTCAGTATTTTGCTTTATGCATTTACAAGTACATAGCATACACATTTCAAATATTATATTTACATACTTTTTTCTTTATTCGCAGGTCAAAAAAATGCACGATCGTGTTCAGAAAACTAAAGATCAAGTTGCAAAATGTCGGGAGAAATACGAGCAGGCCATCGCAGAGATTACCAAATATAATTCGGTATATATCGAGGATATGACTTCAGTGTTTGAAAAGTGCCAAGCCATGGAGAGGACACGATTGGTCTTCTTTAAAGATGTTCTATTCAATATTCACGCGTGCCTGGACCTCACCAAGGTGCAATGGTACGTGAGTTGTTTCTTTTTTGCCTTTGACAAAAGCTTGCACCTATTTTTATAATACGTTTGAACTCCATAGTCTGCCGCAAATATACGAAGAGTTTTATCACACCATAAATAATGCAGATCAGCAGAAGGATCTGAAGTGGTGGTCAAATAATCACGGTGTAAATATGGCTATGAATTGGCCCTCATTTGTCGTAAGTAGAATTTATAGCTCCGCATGCATACATACTTTTAATTTACATTGCTTCAGGAATACACCGAAGAGTTCAGAGATATAGCAAAGGGCAGCAAATCAAAGGAGGCTCTTCCAGCAGCAGCAATTACACTTATCAATCAGCGTCCCGTTTCTGAGGACCCGCATGTATTTATAATATTGCTCTGACGGTTTGCAAATGGTTACTTTTTTTTGTTTACAGGAATATAACACGAATAGCTTAAAAAAATCATCGGCAAATTCGAGCAAATCTAGTGGAAAATCCATGCCACAAGAATCTGCGTCTTCGCCTACAACAGCGACAGCGTCATCGGCTGCGGCGATCGGTAAAAGCGCAAATGCAGCATCGGCTTCAAACAATCGCAATTCAAGCGTAACGTAAGTTAATCCCCATAAATATAAAAATAATCAAAACTAAGTCAAGTGTGAACATTTATACTGTGTGCCGAAAAAATTTGCATACCCACGCATTTAGCATTGTTTTCTCATTATCGTCTTCATAATTTTGGCCGTTTTGGGACTAATTTGGAGTATTTTTTTTATATTTCAGGAATGGTAATGGCAAACCCGACGTGAATCCATTCGAAGAAGAGGAGGAATGGGATGAAGGCGATAACGTGTTGGTGGATAATGGAGAAAAAGGTGTACCAGTCAAGGCTTTATATGACTATGAAGGCGCAGAAGATGATGAGCTAACATTTAAACAAGGTTAGGTCGTGTGCCTTTTCGAAACACTATTTTTATAAAAGTAAATATGTATATTTTCTTTTCAAATATATTTAAGGTGATGTCTTCGAGAAGCTTGAAGATGAAGATGAGCAAGGTTGGTGCAAAGGACGTATGAATGGGCGGGTTGGGCTTTATCCGGCAAATTATGTGGAACCACTACATACGTAAATAAAATCAAATCATTTTTGAACAACTAAAAAAAATGTTTAGTAAAAATTAAAAGCCAACCCGGGAAAATTTAAAAATGCAAAACATGCTGCATCATTTAACTCAACGCAAAATATATTGAAATTATCATAAAGAAGCATTTTTCGTCTGCGAGTATATCGAGAGAAACCGGAGACGAAATAGTAAGCAATACTTGAAACACATCACCATTAAAATCATATTTTGTGATTGTAGCCTATTATTTGTTCTTGTATTTGAAAATTGTTTACATCAGATATCGAACTATTGTTTAAAACAATTCGAAATGAAAACAAATAAGAATGAATAAGTCTTGTCAGCTTATGAATATTAGAAGTGAAAATTTTAAAATGTGATTTTAATCTTTTATGTTAGTCGTTATCAAGTTGAAAGCATTTCAAGTGCAAATTCAATATTTTTTCCTATTTAACATAATGCCCAGGTCACATGGTCCTCCCATAAATCCGTGCTCCATTAAGGTTAAATGAAAATCTACTTACATATCGTCGCCGGGGTAAAAGATTGTCGTAAGCGCCATTTTGACGTGCTTTAGTTCTAGATGCAGTTATATATTTTGAAATAAAGTCTTTCGATTGGTGTTATCAGTTTTTAGATATCTCCTGTAGTTTCCGAAATATTGACTAAAAATTTTTTGATAATTTAGTAAAAATTTAGTTAGTGATGCAGTCATATTAAACTAATCAATATCTTTGAAATGGTTTTCTCCATTTTTGTATATCTCCTTTAGTTTCCGAGATATTGAGTAAAAAGTGTCGTTAATTTGGTAGAAATTTTGATCACATTTTGTCGTATTTCATACAAAGTGGCTGCCAAATTGTGAACAAATGGCGCTTACGACAAAATTTTACTAAAGAAAATCCTTCATAAACTCAAAATTAATTAACAATAAACATCAAAAATTAAATAATTTAAGAGTTTTGTGAACTAGTAACATTTTCGGAGACTTTGGAGAAAATGTATCTTCTCGTTTTTGAGAAATTGTATTCCAAACTTCAATCGCGATTTCCCACAACCTACCGAAATTAACATACGACAATCTTTTACCCAGGCGACGATATATATATATTATGTACGCGTACATTCATGTAATAAAGCCGCAGCTGAAATTTATTTATTGCAAATGAAAACAAAGTAAATTCAATTTTGCGATTCCGTTTGAGTACGGACGTTTAACAAAATTGAATTAGGGAATTAAAAAAAAAAATGTTTAACTTAAAACCTTCAAAAACGAGTGGGCTGCTGTTCCAAAGAAAGGCGTATGAAGCAGTGAAAGAGGTGAATTCTTGGTGACCCAGCCGCTGCTTAGCACACCAAAATTGTTTCTTCAGTTTTTGGTTCGCGAAGCGCATTCTATATTCCACTTGTTCTATATATGTTACTAGAAACGAGCGTATGCACAAGTATTAAAACAATCATATGCTGACTTTGAGTGGATAAAATATAGTTAGTAGACATAAGCAGGTATGGGTCATAAGATTTTAACTCGAAACACACTTTTAGATTTATTAAAACTTTTAATTCAGTTGTCCGATACATATGTATGTACATATATATACATATATCGTTATATTAGTTCACAAGTGCCCTAGCCAACAAATTTTTTTATTACAGAAGCAGAAAACACTATACAAAACAGGTAGGGATTTTTAAAAAGTGGCATGTAACTCCTTTGGTACTAACACTGTAAAATTTTTCTTGAAGTTGTAATTTAATAAATAAATAGTGTTGGTTAGGGCCTTTAAGAATTAAGGTGACGATATTTAAATTCATTGGGATATTAAAGCTCGTACTTATTTACAAGCACCGAATAGGTTTGCGAGTTCAGCGATCACGCTCGTATTGTACTACATATCATTTCTTAACATCCTGAACAAAATCAAAAGTTCGGCAATATGCGTAGAACGAGCAGAAGTTTGAATGCGCGTGTCGCTTAAGAAGATTTGATTTAATTAAGACAAGGTATTTTAAAATTATACTTTATACGCGTCTTTGCTAAGATATGTGGAAACTACAAAAAGTATTTATTTTATTCCACTTCCAGTTCGAGTTAAAAATTATGCACCATATTCATACATTTACATTTATATACATATATACGTATGTATGTAGTTTATGGATGAAAATACATGTGTAAGTCTATAAAGCAATATTACATAGGTAGTATACTTGCATGATTACGCTAGTTTAAATAGTTATACATACTAATAAATTGAGAAATATGATGAGAAGAGCTACATACATATGCGCAATGCATTTTCTTGTTTTGTAATTTCAATACATATACAAACATACACAAAATGAACCTTTTATTGTGGGGAGAAATATTGTACGTACTATGTATTTAACTACATATATCAAATTTTATTTAATCCGTATTCGTGTCTTTATGTATTATATTTTACATTGGTTTACTCTTTTTAAGATTATATCCTCCTTTAACGTGTGTAACAATGTTTAGAACTGCTTGCTGCCGTAAAAATTTTAGGGATGAAGTTTAAATGGGGAAATAAACCACCTAATGCCAAACTTCAAGTAAAGGAAAAAATAAAACAATAAATGAATTATAACAAATATACAAACATACACGAATGTAGCAAGTATTTATATGATTATTATTTACTAAACTTATATCTTTTTGAAATAATAAAGAAATGTGAAATACGTTGATTTATAAATAAAAAAGAATTATCTCATTCCTTTATTAACCCTATGAAACTGCCCCTATTTCTAAAAAATAAGGAGCTTACCTGGAACTAATTTTTTTGATACGAGCAAGAACATAAACATTTATATTTATTTATTGTTCGCTATTTACGTTATATATGTTACCGGCCAAACCCGATCTTAGGACAAACTAGTTTTGACTAGGCTAAACTAGATCAAGCGCCACATTATTTTTGAGCAGAACTACTTTCTGCGTAAGCGGCCTTCGGCCGCGCTTCATAAAAATAACCCTCATCAGTCCAACTCCAACTACGCAGTCAACAATATTGTTGCGTCCAACCTGATTTCGCGTTAGACGGATGTATCGGATCTAGATAGAACTAGTTTCGCCCAGGAAAAACTAGTTTGTCCTAAGATCGAGTTTGGCCGATAACATATACAAATGTATATTATATGAACTTCTTTTTTTGAAATAATCGAAAAGGATTCATATAATACGAAGGGACTTAAAAATAGCATACTAAAAACTAAACATGCGTGTGCTAATTAGATAGCGAAAAAATATTTTACCAGATTTTATAACTAAGTTGAAACTATGATACAGTGAAGCGTTAAGGCTATTTTGAAAATAGGCACACCAGTTGTCACCATTTTCACGTTTCTCTGTTTTTCCCATCCCTTAACAAAACTGTTTGGATTGTTTTATCTTATCACATAATGCTCGATTATAGTGTAAATACCACAAACACTTTTCGACAGGGTGCTGAAGTCGAAGTGCCCTACGCCTTTGCCACCGCACACTTCTGCTATTTACCGCCGTTTCTTCATGATCGCCTATCGTCGGTGAACGTACCGCATAGCATGGAACGCTCAGATAGTAGTTGGCGATTTCGTACAGTTGCTTATATTGTTGGGCATGCAGTTGCCACCAACTTATCGGGCATTGTTCTAAATCTAATGTTGACTCACACTTGTATCGATTAAATTCTACATCGATAGCACTTTCTGGTTGGGTTAGCTTCGGAATCGGATTGTTGGAATGCTTTCGATTAGCTGCGCCCGCTGCATCGCTAATGCGATGAAAAAAAGATCTTAAACCTTGAAACGAAAAAAATAATAATTAAAATAATTTTTATGAGAAGTTTATCTAGCTACATAGTTACTAACTTGATTTTGGTACTATCTGTGGTAAGGCATGTTGCTGGCTTTGTTCCACTTCTAGTTGTGTGTCTGACGTCGGTATTAAATGTTGAAACCGCTGTTTAATTGCCGCCACTATGTCGTGGCGTTGAATACTATCAAAAGTGGCATTTTGTCGTTGATCACATATCTGTTGACGCTTGGGCTGAATAAAATCATGTTGAAAGCGCGGATCAAAGATTACTGCCTCAGAAAAATATGAACACTTTGTCAGGCTAAGTTACCAGACCAAAGCACATTATTATTTTATAAATTTTCAAAATAAAATAAAAAAAACATTTTGCCTACCTGTTGCGCAGTTCAACATTGACTACTTTCTGCGCAGACTCTAGGTAAGCATTACCCTCTGTGTTAAATACTAAGAAATGTTCCTCGAAAAGTTTCGTACTCAATGGCCGAACAAGTGTACAGAGTGGTAACGATTCTGTGGTTATTGTATCAAATGTAATCTATGAAGAGTATTATGATGAACAGTTACAATAGTCATTATTGTGCCAATCGCTTTATTAAAATATATTGAGAGTGATATTAGAAGTCTGATTAGGAGATCATCACATCTTTTGATGAGACTTTTTTTACTAGAGTTCAATTCAAATTCAATTAAGTGGAATTTCCCTCTCTTTAGGACAGCTTAATATTAATTATGGGCTTGTTCAAGTTGCAATCACAACTGCAGTGTTGCGCGAATTATTAGAGTATCACGTTCAGTGTGAATTTCTAGCAACGTATTTTTCAGTTGGGCAGATGCAACAGTGATGCGAAATTTCATCAGTACAGCAGTAATGCCGCTTTTATTACATGCCTCGAACAGGCCCAATGGGCTGGTTTCTCCAACTCAACTTAACTTAGTTAAGCTATTTTTTGGACTTAAGTCAAAAGTTAGCCTACTTTTAACACAGCTTATTCTTGATTAAGTCTAAAAAAATGGCTAAACTAAGTTGAGTTGGAGAAGCCAGCCCTATATCTTTCTTACTGTGAGTATATACCTTCAAAGGGTTTATGTATGCTATGAAAGGTTCCAACTCTGACGCCATATCCTGGCATTCCAAATCGTTCGCTAATGAGCTGTCGAGGAAATCTTTAATAAATTTTAGCTTCGACCACGAGCAATGGGATGGCAATTCTGTCAAATTAAGATACTACAAAATCATTGATAATCTGTTATATCTGCAGTCTTATAATATACTATGACGTTTACAAATACCTGACATAGTTTAAAGATCCTGTGAAGCACCTCTAAGACTACATTCTGTTCGAATATTAGGTCAAGACACCGAGTAAGTAATGCATCCAAACATGGCACCACTTCAATTTCTAATTAAAACATAAAGACATTTGACTACGTTTTTAAATTCAAGTTAAGAAAACCTACCATGAGTTGTGGCGAATTCATTTACGACTGAATTCTCCTCCACCATTGCTACAATTACAGCACAACGGCTCAGATCGAATTCTAGCAAAGCATTTTCCAAGTCTATTGGGCCGTTACAGACAATTTCTTCATATAGAACACTTTCCAATTTCCTTTCATAATCAACATTAAGAAAGTTAACATAAATGCTGGCAATACTCTCCTCTTCGTTATTCATATAAGATTCAATACTAAGTGAATATGGTTTATGATCTTGCAAAATGTTTTGTGAAATATATTTTTTAAGAATGTCTTGCATTTGCCCAAAGTCATCCTGTACTTTCTTCTCAATTTCATATTTATCTACATTAGGAGCTCCAATTGAGTTAAGAAGAGTTTTAAAGCCGAAGCCCTGCAAAACACTAAACGGTAATAGATCGGTGACCAGCATGCCTGCAAGCCCTTCAACGTAAGAAGCTCTGTTTTGCAACGCACTGGATGTTTTCGATTGTCCAGGGTGACCGGACGATGAATTACTCGAGTCGTCAATCAAAGATTTCTGCGTGATTTCGCTTTCAAGCGTAACTGCTTCGTCTTCTACGAATTCATGTGCTTCATTGTGTACAGTCTCAACACTGAAATCATCAGCACAATGAATGACCACATCTTCGGTTCCACTTGTTGTCAAAGCGTTAACTGGTTCTGAATCGAGAAACTCGTAGCCACTCCTGCTTCTATTAACAACGACGTGCTCATTCACATCATTCATTTTTTCATGGTTTGGAATTGCTTTTACATTCCCTGTGATTTCATGTTGATATTGAGAGTCCTGTAAAATAGCATTTGAAGCATCATGAAAGTAGGTTTACTTAGAATTAGATACTTACCTCTTGATCACTTGTTAATGTTATTTTATTGACTGCACGATAATTTGAGGTCAGTCGTTTAATTTTTAAAGCACTACCCTCATCATGGTCGAGCGAATTAGAGCGCTTACATATTTGTACTTTTACTTCGCTCTCTTCATTTAAAACATCTGTTGAGACATCATTACTGTCGCCCTCTTCCAAGCTGGCAAATGTTGAGCATTGTTGCCGCTGCTGCAGATGCATTTCATGCAGTCGCTCCGGATGCCGCGCAATTAGGTGCGTGCGAAGATTGGATGTATTTTTGTTGTAAGTAATGGCTGTACCACAAAGCGTGCAGATAATCTTTTGCCGCGTTAAAATTTTATTAGCACTGTCTGAAGGAAACCCAAAATATTTCCAATAAGGACTGCGCATTGAGGCCGGAACGGTGGTGTGTGTGTATTCTATAGTTTGTTTTTCAACGCAATTTTCATACTTCATTTTGCAGTGGATTACTATCGGTATTCGAGTCACACTTAAAATTAAGACGTAGGACCTTCGAAAACGGCGCGGTACGTTTGGTTCAGCGATCATAAACACTGTGGCGCAATCGCATGTTCCCAAACTTCAGCTTCTTCCTCAGCCTTTTATAGTTGTAATCTTGAGTACAATGTCAAGGATTAACTAATTGAGTTGCACAATGAGGGAATACCTTACTAATTTACATCTAATACCAACCAAATTTTAAATTGCCTTGTTTACAGATTGCGTTTGTTCATTGAGTCATAAATGTCAAAACACATTAAACGCGACAGCGACGAGCGCCAGCTGTCAAATAGCGTATGACATTTAAAACATCATGATTGCCACGCTACACCTTTGCTAATCTCGTTACATATTTGGGCAATTTCAGATGTAAAGTTTTATAACGGGATATGTTCTTATTTACCAAAATTTACGACATACGATTTCTGATCAAAATTCTTTTTGTTACTTTGAGAACTTGAAAGTCCAGAATGGCAAGGAGAATTCAATTATCCTTAAACCACACCAGAATCGCCATAAACAGAAATCGAAGAAACTCCACAGGAGAAAAAAATATATTAAAAAAAAATAATAATAATAATAAATAAAAACAAGTCATTTGTAAGCAAAAAACAAAACCGGCTTCAATTCTCATATAAAAATTTAGGAATACCGTTATTTTTTGATGATCCAAACCAGATTAGTATGGGACCACCTCTGAGACACTACCTTTCCGACGCAAAAAGAATTATCGAAATCGGTTGACATGGTCCAAAGCTATGCGGTAACGTACATAAAAAAAATATTCCGACGAATTGATAACCTCCTTTTTTGAGGTCGGTTAAAAAAACATAAATAAGAATAAAACTTCTATATAAACTAAGATAACATTTTCAATAAAACAAAACAATACATTTGAATAAAAATAACATTTAATAATTTATATAAGAACTGTAAAATTCTTAATTTAAATTTTAATATATTTAAATTAAATTTAATATCAACATAAAATATATTTGTTACTCTTTAAATTATAATTTGTATTTTTTTTTAATCTTTTTTTAGTTAATTTAGAATTTTTTTAACTATTTATTTTGTAATTAATTACACAGACCGACAAAATAAGACCGATCTCCTTACCCAGAAACCAGACTATACTTTCCCGAAAGTTTTCGGTGCGCTGAATTCAAATCTGGCCACAGAATTGCTCTATCACATCAGGATTTTGAGATATTCTAACCTATAAGTGCGAAAAATGCCGTTTTTGCCCATTTTTGAAGTTGTGTATGCAAGCCAGAGTAATTTCTCCTAAAAAAAATACAAATAAGGTGTTAAAGTACAAGTCTTTCTCTTTGAAATGGCGTTGAGTTTGCTCAAACATCTTTTTGCTTCGCTGAGACATTACAATTTTAAATTTACGGATTTTTCATGATAAACATTAATTTTAGAGCTATTAAGATCTAAATCCCTTAAAATAAAATTTGTGTGCCTAAAAAAAGAAACATTAACATTAATTCTACACAATAAATTCCTAAACTTCTCAAAAACATAACTATAACTGGAGTTAATACATTGACAATTAACTAATTTATATCTTAAATAAAAATTTATGAACCACTGCTTAACATCTAATCAGCAGTTAACCATTCAGCTCTTTTTAAAGGAGGCAACTCACATGCCAAAGCATACCTAGTTAAGGTTGGAGTACTTGGAGGAACAACTAAACAACCCTTTGGTGCATCAGCATGGGTAGTAATTGCATATTCTAATTTAGATCTAACAAACACTTTGGACCAATTTAAAGATACCTTAGGAGCTAAACCCGATTTTATAGAAGTTAATTCGACTAAAAGATTTCTACCCATAACAACCCCATTTTTAACTCTCTCAATTTGGCCACCAATAGTACAATTAGCTTTTATTGATCTACCATGCCAAATAATTTGATCCACTTGCTCAATATTAGAATCATTTGAATGCAAAATTTATTCCTACTACTTGTTGTCATATACATAAACTTTGTTTTTTTTTTAGTTAAAACTTAAATTAAGCGAGCTGCACAAAATCTGCATATCAGAGATCTTTGAAGCCAAATTTAAAATAGCATCATTTTCATTTAAAACATATGACACAATAGCCAAATCATCAGCATATTGAAATAATGAAGTATTGTAATCATTAATGTTATGAAGTTTTGCAGTATAAAAATTAAACAAAATCGGAGAGACAACTTCCTTGCGGAATACCATTATTAGTCTCTACCATATGACCTCCAAGTGTTAACTTCCTCAAAGAAAAAAAAATTATATACCCAATTACCAATTCTTGAGTCAATACCCAAACGCATTAAAATCTGTTGAAGAATATTTAAATCAACACAATTAAATGTATCAGATATATCTAAAAAAAAAAAAACAAAAATACCTTTTTCTAATAATGTTTCTTTTCCTCTATTAAATGTAAAATTTTATTAATACACATTGTAGCTGATCTTTGCTTTCTATTATATTTTTTCACTATGCTTTCTATAAGCAAAACTTTTATGTGGAATTAAACAATTGTTTCCCCCCATTTCCTCCAAAGCATCCTTAATAAGCATATTTAAACATTTAACAACAACTGATATTAAAGAAATTGGACGATAATTCCTGATGTCCTCTAAATCTCTATTGGCTTTTGGAATAGGAACAATTTTGGTATGCCTCCATTCATCTTTCACCTCATTACTACAAAAATGTCTCTCCAATTCTTTAAGAACAAGATCTTTTGTATCATCCGGCAAAAACTTTAAAATATTGTAAGTTATGCAATCTAACCCACCAGCTGTGACCCTTTTTTATTTAGTTTAAAATTACAATAAGAAATATCAATATTTGAACTAAAATTTTGATTTGAAAAACTAAAGAATTTCTAAATATACAAGGTTTTAAATTGCTTTGTTAACAGATCCATTTTGTTTTATTGAGTCATATGTATATGTCAAAACACATTAAACGCGACAGCGACAAGCGCCAGCTGTCAAATAGCGTATGACATTTAAAACACCATGGTTTCCATACTACACCTTTTCTAATCTCTTTGCATAATTGGGCAATTTCAGATTTAAAGTTTTATAACGGAATTTGTTCTTATTCACTAAAATTTACAAAATACGATTTCTGATCAAAATTTAATAAGAATTTTATCCTGCTCGCACATAAGGTTTGTTCGTCGAGAATCCAGTAAGAATTATCCAACACTCAAAATATCAGAGAGTAAGAAAAAATTATCTCAAATTCTCTCTCATGTTGAGAAACTTGCAAATTTCTGCACGAAGTTCCACTGCCAGCTGGTGTCCACGGTTGCATTTCAAACATAATAAATTTTTTTAGAATTTTTAAAATTCTTTCAGATGGACAAATAAAGGATATACATGTATATTTCTTGTTGTTCTGACTTTCTTTAACAAACATTTCAATTTCTTTATCGTACTAGCTGTCGGGTTTCTTAAATCGACTCTGGTTGCAATTGCATTCCGATTGCGAATACAAGTATTTAGTTCATTCCAGAGCGTCTACGATTTGCAGGTTTTGCTGGATTTAGTCCAAAGTCGTTCCCGTACGCCACGTTCACATAAGGTTTATTAAAGGCGAAAACAGCTGTTCCTGTAAAACCTGCAAATCCTGAAGTACGGGAACAGGCTAATTTAAATCCCTTTAAAAAAAAAAAATAAAAAATCGCTAAAAAATGCAACCATGTGCCACAATCATATGTTTTTCGTGATTGCAAATTGTTGCTGGCTAAAATTTTTCTAGCAAAAATTAGCAACTTCTCTCACGACAACTGTCACTTTACGCTCTCAGTTTTTGAGTGATGGATAACTTTTTGGTCTGCACGAACGCGATTTGGGCAAAAATCATAATAATTCGTACACATTCTTTGCTCGACGAACAAACCTGTAATCAGGTATTTGAAATTCTTTTCAATCACCCTTGTATTTTTATATTTAAATGTTATGTCCACCGGTACAATTAGTTCTTTATTTAACCGTTTTTAATATTTTTATTCGTTAAATTTATTAATCTTCATTGGCCGGACAGTTGGTTACCAATGCCGGGAAATTGCACACATATCGATCGCGATCGTACCACATGCCAATTTCGCAGAAGAGCTGCACGGCTTGTCCTTCCACGCATTGCCAGAAAACTCGGCAATGTTGGCTGTCCCCAAAACGAGCGCCATTCGGAGCTGTACTGCAATCAATTCCCGCCCCGCCATCGCCACCACCATTGTCGCAATTACACGGCGGGCACTTTCCATTCTGACAACTCTGTAAAGTAGTGTTGAAGCGCTGGCCAGGTGTGCAGTACTGTTGTATGACCATTTCCCCATGACATAGGAGGTATCCAACACAATCAGTTAAATCGGGAACCTTGTAGCCATAGGGCTTGCTAATACATGCACGAATTGAAGAATTATCGGGGGTATCTAGACTTGTTAGGGCCGTTTTCTCAAGTAACCTATAACTTTAAAGCTCACTTTAGATTTAAATGTTGCATTAAAATGTATGATTGTGTTAAAAGTAAAGCACTTTATTATCGGTTTTAAATTGGTTTACAACCAAGAAAGATACATACGTCGAAAGCCGATAATAGAAATGCTTAACTTTAGACATAGCTTTATTTTTAATCCAACCTTCAAATACAAAGTGAACTTAAAAGTTAAAGGTTACTTCAGAAAACGGCCCTTAGACCATCAGGTATGATTGCACTGCACCAAAAAGTTACCGCCAACAAAGTGACGAGATATTGTAGGACAACTGAAAACAAATTTTTATCTAAAACCAAGGCAATTCAATTATGGATTTGTTCTCAATTTACTTGACATTGCAAAAATTTTTTGCAGTTACACTCTTACAACCTTTTAGAACTAATATCGTACACAGTTTGAAGTACGAGTTTTTATAGTAAATAGTATCTCCGATGCATATAAACTGCTCAAACTAACTGGAAATCATACACAATGGGGTCTAAATACATATTTACCTTGTGGCTGATGTGATATTTTATCTATTCAACAGTAATTAGCTTTGTTAAGTAATGCCTATTGATGTATATATGTACACCAACTACATATGTAGCCCTTGAGCTCGCGAGTGAAAAAAGATTTTGTGCTTTCACATGCACACATGGAGCTTATATCTTTTTTTTTGCACATACATGAGTGATCCCAGTCGGCAAAATGAGTAGCGTTTCTTTCCTTCAGGAAGGTATTTTTCAATAAGACATTCATAAATGCAATAGACGCATCAGCATGTGCCGACTGCAAAGTTAAATTCAAACTTGCAAGTTTTAGGAACATTTTAAATTTTTATTAGTGAAATTTTTATCTTTTCAGACCAATATGCAGCTCTCAAGAAAAGCAAATAGTCCATATAAAATGATGTACAAGAAATGGCTAAGCAATCTTCTTGTGTAAAATTTTATTGAGGCAGTACGCAGTTCTTAAGAAATTTGCTATGCTTTTTACTACGGTTTTCGAAAGTTTTTTTTTTTTTTTGTGAAAAAGTGCACAAGGCAAAATTTGAAAAAATGTTTGTTCTGTATTCGCTGGCGACAACAAGACAAAATGGGTGAGAATCGTTGGCCTACAAAAATTCAATGTAGGCTAAAGAGACGAAACTCCCTTAAATGTCGAAAATTTATATTTGTTGACAATCGTGGATACCTATTTATTCTGTCAAGTCGCTGCAAAATAAAGCGCGCAATGTTTCTGGTAAAGCCTGATATGCAGTTCAACGATTTTTCAACAAAATTTTCGACATTTTAATCAGATTTAAAAAAATAAACAAAAGTGGTAAACAAGCTCACTTTGAAATGGGGTGCAATTGATATGACCGATACTGTACATACGTAAATAAACCTATAACTGAGCACCCGAAATGTGTAGTTATGCAGTGATTTTTTTTAAATTTCCAATATTTTTAACCGACTTCACAAAACTCTGATGCGAAATAAAGTCAATTGACATTATTACCTTTTCAAAAGCGAAATAAAATCCATTGACATTATTGCTTTTTCAAACATTAAATTTGCTTAGCTTCGCGGCGGCCCGCGTCCGCGCTATAACTAACCTTAGAGTCGATTTTTTTCGACTATGAATATGCCAAAAATAAGTCTCGAAAGATAAAATAATGAAAGGCTTCATATACATGGTGTAAACCAGAGTTGGGCAAAGTGGTTCCCACGAGCCTTTTGCACTTAGGTGCCGGCTAAGAGCCAACATGAAGGGGGCGTGCGTAATACAATTTCTTGTACTCCGACTCGCATTACTAATAAATATAATGCTTTTAATGTATTTTTTTAAGCTCCTTTATTCTAAGAACTGCTTTACTTCTTGCGTTGCACTTGCTGACTCTTTGACTGCTTTAAGATCCAAAAATCTGCCCATCCCTGGCATAAACGATTTGAAGAAAGGCAGTGGCACTTTTGTTGCGACTTTCCAAAAATTTTCAGCGGTAACACTGTGTAGCATCACGTAGGTGCAATGAAATTTTTAGTAAAACACCGCACTTATTTTTTATAGTTCCTCCTTTCTCATATTACTAAATTTTTTTTTGTTGATAGGCTCTCTACTACTTTGCAGCAGACTAGCTGACATCTGTAAAATGAATTTGTTTAGTTTTCTTTTTATAAAAATATTTATTGCACCCATATCTTATTTGTGGCAGATAAACGAGGTTTGTTTTTACAACTGTATTTTTTATTGTATAATAAAACGTTATTTTTTACTGGGTAACTAACTTTTAGGTAACTTTTTTGTAAATTCTGAGCAGAAAATTTTTTGTCGTGTGCAACCGTGGTCACAAATGATGACTATATCATCCACCTGTAGACATTTCCAAGCCTCATGCCACTTCTGCCGATAAAGCAACTGTGGTAAAAACTCGACGGCCAATCGCTTCCACAAACGGTCCTTCAAATTCTGCGCAATGCGCCACTGCTTCCTTAGGAAAATTTTTACATCAACATAATAGACGAGAATTAATAATATTTTCTGCTTCAATAAAAACGCTTTGCAACGTTTTTAATCTCGGTGTCACTTCTTGTAGTGTCTTGAGGAGCAATCTTTTTACGATACGGATTAAACGCTCCCAACATCCACCTGAGCTCGGGTTAGCTGGGCAATTGAAAACCCACTCTACTCCTCGTTTAACAGCCTCGCCCTCCATTTGTTGAACGTCTAATAGTTGATCTCACTGTTTCAACTCCTTTTGAGCACCCAAGAAATTTGTGCCATTACCACTTCTAATGCCCACTGGTGTACCACGACGGTTAATGAAAGTCCTTAGCCAAATCACAAGCGCATCAGTAGAAAGATCTGCTGCGAGCTCAATGTGTACTGCTCTTACCGTCAGGCAGGTGCAGATAACACCCATCGCTTCTCATGCAGGCGTCCAATCGTAACTGTAAGGTTCCCAAATAAATCTACGCTTGTGTAGGTAGGTAAAGGGGCGCACGTAGGGCGTAACGCGATTCTGCGGCAATGGACCCATCAATGGTGGCACCGGTTTTGCTCGATCGAGTTGGCATATCGAAGAATTCTTCTCTACTGCCTTCAGCACTGCACGCACATGAATTATCCAGATCCTTTGGCGCGACTTGTTAGGTATTACTGCTCGATTTTGATGGTGATTTTTTTTTAAATGTGAATCCGATGAGGTGGCTCTTGTAGTATTCGAGAGAAAGATTTTGCGGAAGGTTTACGGGCCTTTACGCGTTGGCGACGGCGAGTACCGCAGACGATGGAACGATGGACGACATGGACATCGTGCAGCGAATTAAAATAAAGCGGCTCCACTGGCTTAAAATTGCTCCATGTCGTTCGAATGGACACCGAAGTTCCAGCTCTGAAAGTATTCAACTCGGAACCCGCTGGTGGTAGCAGAGGAAGAGGCACAGAAGAGAAACGACTGGCGTGCTTTGTTGAACTTGGCCAAACTCGCTTTGGCGGTTACAGCGCCAAATAAGAAGAAGAAGAAGAACAAGAGAAGAGATTTATAATTTTATCAGTCACACAGTGTTATAATCCCGACGAAATCCTTGACGGGAACGGTACATGACGGTAGGAAGTTTAGTTTGGGTTAAGGTCTCACAGTGACCGGGTTAGGCTTCCGATGCTTCCTCCTCATAAAATAAACATGCGCAGTAAAAAGTTAACTATTTAAATCGACGAATAGTTATATATCAACTTTTGTGAACTTCTGTTTATGTGTTTTTGTACAACATATTTCCTTCTATTGGTTAAAATAATTTTAAGCTATAATAAACAATTTTTTAGTAAGTGAGTTATTGGTTTTGAAATTTTTTTTTTTTTGTATAGGTCTCCCCTACATTTCGTTCTGGCTACGCCCATGGGTACAGTGCTAGCCGCTAGGGCAATTGGCTGGCATATTAATATATTTCAGTAATTTGCGAGAATAAATTTTCATTCGGAAATAGCAATACTTAATGAAATATGAATAGAACCACAGATCAAAAATGGCAACATATTTTTTATAATCCTGAGAATTAATTACGAAACTTACTTAAATTTATTTAATTTCTACTCTATTTCTGCAACTTCGACATTCACGTAAAGAGTTTTTTCTATTATAAATGCGGAATGGCAAGATGAGAGAAACAAAGCCGCTACCTCACTAATAAAAAATGAACTTTTGATGCATATAAATTTAAATTTTTATTGCGATAAAGCATATTTATGATACTTTCACAGTTATCAAGGAACTCTTAAAAATTGCCAAAAGTGCAAAGAAATGTATTTTTTATTAAAGAAATGCTTTAGAAATAAAATACCATATATATATGAGGCCATGAGAGCAGAAATGGCCTAATCCACAATTTTTTTTCTTGTACTTAACTTCTTAAAATGGTTTCAAATGTGTTAAATTTCAAAGTAAAGGTCGATTATTCCTTAATTTGATATGCAGCTCCGTACCTTAGAATTAAAGAATAAGCGACTTTCATTTTAAAATTTATCTCATTTGAGACTATTTTAAGTAGGGAAGTACACAAACAAAATTTTTGGTTAGGCCACTTCTACTGTCATGGCCTTATATATATTTGAAGGGTACTATATTTTCTCAGATTTTTTTTTACAAGTACAATAAATATCTTAGAAAATGTTGGCAACCCTACATACATCCTATGTTTGAATGTACAATAGGCTAGGTTATGAAAAAAGTTTGCGGTTAATTAGTGACCAAAACTATACCAAAAAATACGTATGATACAAAATGTCGATGCTAATTTAAAAATACATACAGATAACTCTATCAAATCGCGCAGGTTTTCGATCTTTTTATGAATTTTAAAATTTCAATAACTGAAAAGAAAAAAATTAGGAAGGTGTATACACTAAATACATATTATGCATTTGATTTGCGAAAATTAAAGTTTAAATCTCGTACGCAGATGGCGACCGTACGCAATTTAC